CATCAGGTTTTCAACTGTGATGAAACTGGCCTTTTTGGGGAGAAAATGCTCAGAAGAACATACATGCCAGGCCACAAGTTATAAAGTATAGGCTAATCCTTTTTTTTTTTTTTTTTTTTTTGGTACCAAGGCTTGAACTCACAAACTCGCACTTGCCAGGTAGGTGCTTAAGCCACTGAGCTAAATCCCCGACCTAGGCTAACCATATTGCTATGTGCCAACACAAGTGCCAATAAAGCCTCTCTTGGTTTATGACTTTAAGGTGTCCACAGTGTTCAGAAAACATAGTCACGAAGAACAGGCTAGGAGTTCCAGGGAGATCTAAAGCAAAAGACTGGCTAAAAAGAGTATTTTCCCAAGTGGATAAAGGAGACTTTCCTACTATTAAGAAATATCTAAAGGACAAGGGTTTGCCATGCAAGGCTCTCCTCATCATGGACAGTGCTCCTGCTCATTCATGAGATTTAGAAGAAGAACTGGCTTAAGAATTCCCATGGCTCTCAGTTGAGCTCTTCCTACCTAATATAACTCCTCATTACAGTCTATGGACCAGCAAGTTATAGTTAAGCTTAAGAAGCTATACACCGAGAATTATTCCTGAAGTGCTTCCAAGTGGTCTCAGATACACATCCAACCCTTAAAGAGTTCTAGAAGGAACATTCCAACTCCTTTCCTGTGGGTTGAAAAATTCTGGGCCAATGTCTCTAAAGACATTGAGATTTGCCTGGAAGAAAGTATGGCCTAAAATTATACAGGAAAGAGATGTTAAAGGCTACATAGGGGACCCTGAGCCTTCAAATGACCCTGTGGCTAATGACACTGTCACTACAGTAGAGTTGATAGGCTTGTAGGTAGACCGTGATGTTGAGGAACTGGTGGAGGAACACTGAAGAATTGTCTATAGAGGCATTGCAGCAACTTCTGGCTGAGCAATGGTAGCTGAGGAGCCTTCTGAAGAGGAGGGGGGGTATCAACAATCAGTGCAGCAAGTTTCTTTTAAAATAAAGGAAATCTTGAAAAGATGGACAGAGCTACAAACATTTGTAAAGAAGACCACTCAGACAGGGAAAAAGACAATCATTGTATTCACTTGCTTAAATAACAATGTCATGTCATACTATAGAACAGTGTTAAAGAAAAGACAAAAACAGACAACCTTAGAGCAGCAGTCTTCAGTTCTAAAAAGGTTGAGACCTAATGATTGAGAAGCAGGTCCTAGGAGAGAAAGGACAGCAAGCCAGATTCCTCATTTTCTTATGGAAGTGGATTCTCTTTTCAAACAGTAACGACCTTCTATGCCACCCTTTCTTCCTGCAAACCAAAGATGTCAACTTAAACGGTGAGTACAGTATGAAACTGTTGTTTCTGATAAACTACACATATTTTATAACTTGTTTGGTGTATATACTAGGCAAATTACTGGTGTTTCTGGTAAACTGCACACATTATACAACCCTTTTTATTTTGAAAAGGTTAGATAAGGGATGCTTTGGGAGGTTTGGAATGTACACAGGGTATTTTCATTATTTCTTTTGGGAAACATAGTCTTGATTTACAAGTAACTTGAGTTACAACCAGTCCTCACAAACAGAGTTCATAAGTTAAGGGTCCACTGTATTTGATCTTTGACAAAGGGGCCAAAAGCATACATTGGAGAGAAGATAGCCTATTCAACAAGTGGTAGAGGGAAAACTGGCCCCATATCTCTCACTGTGTACTAAATTAAGTAAAAAATGGAATAAAGAATTAGACACTAAAACAAATACTACGCCTTCTGGAAGATATAAAAGGTAAAATACTTGAAGTCATAGGTGGTGGAAAGGATTCTGAAACAAAATCTCAATTGCATAAGAAACAATGGCAAGAATCAGCAAATGGATTATATCAAATTAAGAAGCCTCCATATAACAAAGAATCAGTTAGTAAAGACACAACCTGTGGAATGGGAAAAAATTTTTGCCAGCTACTACTCAGACAGAGGGCTAATATTTAGGATACATAAAGAACTAGAAAAAAACCAGATCATGTAAAATAAAAAAACTCAGGCAAGAAATGGGCATGTAAACAGGTACTTCACAGAGGAAGAAGTGCAAATAGCCAACAAATACATGAAAACGTGTTCAACCTCTCTGGTCATTACAGAAATGCAAATTAAAACAATACCAAGATTCCATCTTATACTAGAAAGAATGGCAATCATTAAGAAATTTAAAAAATAACAAATGCTGGAGAAATTGTGGAGAAAAAGGTATTGGTGGTAATATTAACTAGTACAACCATTAAGGAAATCAGTATGCAGATTTCTAAAAGTACTAAAATTAGAAATTCCATATGACGCAGCTATCTTCCATCTAGGTATTTTCACCAAAGAGCTTAAGATACCGTAATACAGTGATACATGCATATCAATGTTTATAGCAACATAATTCATAATAGCTAAATCCTGCATGCAGACTGTATACCCATCAACAGATGACTGGATAAAGAAAATGTGGTTATCTATGTATAATGGAATACTACTTCACTATAAAGGAGGACACATTTGAGACACCTATAGGAAAATGGATGCTACTGGAAAATATAATGTGTGAAATAAACCAGGCACGCAAGCTTAAATACCCAATGCTATTTGAGCAAGGTAAAGCACAAAGAGATAATAAAGTATAGATAGGAATCAAGAGAACAATTATCTCTTTCAAATGGGAAAGAGATCAAGGATAAGGGATGAGAAAGAGGGGAAGGGGAATTAGATAGAATAAAGATATGCCATATTCAGGAATCTAATAACCTCAATGAATATAAACATTACATGCCATAAAGATGAGCTAAGTTTGTAATATCACCAAGATGAAAATGGAGAAAGAGAAATTAAAAGATGGGAGGGAGGTGTGAACTAAAATGAACCAAATTTTATTGGGCACAAATATCCACCCCCCAAAATGACTATAAACCACATATACTGAAAACATATACTAATAAAATAAAAACTATGCAATTCTAATTTGTATTTTCCTTTTAGCCCAAGATTGCCTAACAGTTTTTTTTTTTTTTTTTTTTTTTTAATCGGTACCAGGGATGGAACTCAAGACTGCCTGCTTGCAAGGCAGGCGCTTATGTCGCTGAGCTAAATCCCCAGCCCCTGCCTAACAGTTTTAGAATTCTACGTGGAAGGAATTTTTATTTTCAGATTACTTACTTTCTAGTTTAAATTATCCTACAATATCCTACAATGAAGAAGAAAGGGTGAGAATTCAGTTTTAGGGCCCCAAAGAATACACTCAAAACTATGCCTGGAATAAGCAACATACATAGTATTGAATAACCTGAAATAAATGCTAGTTTTATGACTCAAGAAAAACCCATTGTAATAAATCTGGTCTTTTTATACTTTTCTCTACAGTAAACAAAATGTTTCACAGAGCATGCTGTGGGAAACAAACTAGGCCCATTATGTACCACTAACCTGACCACACATAACAATGTACGTAAGAGTTCTGTAAGTTATAATTGATTACTGTCACTCAGGAGAACTCCTCAAACCTACCCTCTGCTCAACTTCAGTCTCAGATGCAAACTGCCCCAAAGGCAAATTAAGAGTATGAGGCACCCAGGAAAGACACTTGTGAGGACATCCAATTCTAAAATAGTTTTATGTTTCTAAAGAAAAGTTGAAGCATGTCTAAGCAGATTATAATGAGTCTGCTGCCAGATCATATCACATGCAGCATCACAGTTGGAAAATGAGGAAAATTGGGGGCTGTGTATTTAGTTCAGTGGCATAAGTACCTGCCTTGAAGCACACGGTCATGAGTTCGATCTCCAGTACCAAAAAAAAAAAAAAAAAAAGAAAAAGAAAAAGGAAAAAAGAAAATGAGGACAAATAAAGCCCTACTTAGCAACCACACAGAGAATTCACTGACAAACGAGTAACAAATTCATCCAGGAAGCAGCACATGTGAACTACAACTGCAAACTCTCACATGAGTCTCTGAGTCTAACTACCTACTCTACTAACTACTTTCAGCTATGACCCTGGCAAATTTAACCTCTGTCTCATTTTGTCACCTATAAAGTATTAATAATTGCTATACCCTACAGTACTATTATGAGGAGTACATAAAATAAATGCATGTTTAAGCCAGGTATGGAGGCACATGCTTATAATCCCAGCACTCAGGATGCTCAGGCAGGAGGACTGTCTCAAGTCTGTGGCCATCCTGGGGTTGCACAGTGAGTTTTGGGTCAGCCTGAGTTGCACAGTAAGACTCTGTCTCAACAACAAACAAATAAATAATTGTATGTTTGCATGCATGCATGGATCAGTGCCTTACATACAATACAGATAGCATTAAGTGCTCAGTAATTATTAGACATTATTTTCATTAGCCAGGCATGATGGCACAAGCCTATAATCTGAGCATTTGGGATGCTGAGGCAGAAAGATCACTGCAAGCTTGAGGCCAGCCTGGGCTACATAGTAAGAGCAAGGCCAGCCTGAACTATAGTAAGATCCTGTTGCAAAAAACAAGCAATATATAGTTACACATATGTATATATATGTTATTTTCACCAAAAATGGAATATACTTTCACTTGCAATGGTAGTAACTGCCCCTACTAAACATTAAAAAAAAAAAAAAAATCAAAGCAGGTAACTTAGAAAAGTCATGGGTCTAAAGAAAACGTTAAATCAATAACTCAAAATATATATCTGTTGTGAGAACTGACTCCAGGAAAGAGTTCAGAAAGTGTGCCCACATTTTTTATCTGTTTGTAGGTCTTGATTACCAAAGATGTCCTCTCCTCCCTAACTTCAGGTAAAAATGATTATCTACAGCTAGAACTCTGTAGTTAGGCTCTGTCATATGAGATAAAACAAAACCAAAATGTGTGCACTTGTGCTTTAGCAGCTGTGAATAGCAATTTAGAAGTTCCATAGGTGAAGGACATGCTTTTGCTACAGCATTGCAGCCTGAACACACAAAGCACTTGATTTCTTACCTAGTAATACCATCTCCCCAACATCACTGTTATCTTCCTTCTCTGAGGTGGGTTGCTGAGCAGATTCCATGCACACACATTCTTCTTGGGAGTGAAACACATTCAAATCCTCAAAGATTACCAGCTCCTAAAAGAGCAAGAGATCCCCTTTTTCTCAGTAAATGAGGTTCCTTTGCAGCCCTTCTTTTCTGAAAGACATCTCTATAAGCTTCACATAGGAGCAACGTAGACAAGATAGCCAGGCTAAGAGGAGCCAGAACCAAGTAGTATAGGGAGCCACTGAAGCTGGAGATTGATCACATGTGGGGCTAAAGCAAGGCCAGCCCTAAAAACAGAGAGGGCTCAAAACAAGCCACATAAACAAGCTGTTTCAGTTTTAAGAAGGCAAGGGGCCCAGGCCAGTCAGGCAAACAAGTTATTAGGCAACGAGGTTAAAATCGACATCTTCCTCTTGAATGTATAAATAAGTGTGCTACAGTGGTTAAGCAGTTCCTTCTCTCTCATCGGGGGCTCCACCTGACCACAGCTTTATCTCTTCTTTATTTTTTCATCCTTTCACAATCCTTCACCCCAGGAACCTCAAGAGCCACATGGGTCGCAGCAAAGCAGAAGAGAAATGTCCTACAAGGTTGATTCCCAAAAATGTGTTAGACACAGGTTGACCCAGAAGACAAGATTTCAAGAGCAGAGAAGGTGATGTACTTAGTGAGTGGAAAATCAAACTCACCTCATAGTCAGCTTTAAAAGACAGAGACACTGTCTCCTGTTTCTGCTGGACTCTCTCTTTGGGCAGAAATTTCACTAAGGGATGAGATTGCACTGGGAAAAGAAGAAATTGTAGTTAGAGGAAAAACTCAGTGGCTCTAATACAGATACCGCCCATACCTTCGAGCCAAGATATGTTTACTTCTTCAGCAGGCAATTCACAGCTATTTCTGCTCCTGTGAACCCTAACAGAGTTCAAGCCACAAGCCCCAGAGTCTTGAACCTTTGTGGGATCTCTTCAGTATTAAAAAGATTCCCCTAAGCATCTTTCAAAATTTCTAACTAAGAGTCACTATATAGGAGTTTGGAGGAAGGCAAAGTATAAAAACTTGAACAAGCATAAAATTTCTAAAATCCCATATAAAGTACAGACAACATGATAATCTGCCTGATTTCTATATTCTTTTAAAGATACTTCCCTCCACAATGTTTGGGCAGAAGTTTCACTAAGATGGACAATACAAAAAGATGCATGCTTCATATAGCTTTATACACATCTGGCACACCACATAAGCCCCAGCTTAAAAATAAAGCAATACCTTAATGTATTAAAATTGACTTTTTTTCCTCAATACTCACCATCCTAACTTTATTTCATGACTAATACAGAAGTTTATCTCAGAGCCCAGTACCATGCTCTTCTCTTCTACTGACATAAGCATGTGCTTCTTACCTCTATTCTGAAGGCCTGAAATATCCTTCATAATAACCAAGGTCTCCTTCACTTTCTGATTGGGCTGGACCATGCCTGCCTTGGGCAAGAAGGTAAGGAAGTGCTCTAGCACCAGCTGGTGGATGGTCTTGGGCCCACTAGTGGCATGTTGAAGGAGGTCTTGCCCCAGCTTGGAATCTGGAGGAACTCTCAGTACAAAAGACTGCTTTGGTTTTGAGGATATAGAAGCCACTTTTGTAGCCATCATGCCTCACCACATAAGACTACACTCGTTTACTGAGGGCTGTTCGATCCACTTCTTACTGAAGGAAATCTTCCGGTTAGTCAAGCTGCAGATAGAGAAACCACTGATTAGCCACAGGACAAGGCAGGTGTATGACTTCAATATAAGGCATGGGTGGTGGGGTCAAGTCAAAACCGAAATGGAACATTCCAGAACAGGATACACTTAGGAAGGCCTGAAAGGAAGACCCTGTGAATGAAAACTAAGCTCAAGACCCAAACAGAAGGGAACAAAGCCACAGAAGGCCAAAAGGTAATCTCCCGAGGAAATAAGTACGATACTCAATGAGAAAAGAAAAACTCAATCTTGTACAAAGAGCAACGGACCAGAAAACAGGTAAGCCTGGGTCCAATCGAGAGGGCCACTGTTTAGAGGAAAGCTAACAGCTGAACCTGGCCACACTGCGCCCCTCACATTTCAGCACTCCTTCGGGAGCCGGAGCGCTTGATGCGGCTCCAAGGGGAGCATATCTGAGAGGTGTCTCACATCTCTTGAGGTGTCTACACATGGCGTGCTTAATTCTCTCTCTTGTCAATGTCCTACTGAAATCGGCAAGGGCCATCATACTCGGGTTTACCGGGCCAGTCCGACTCTAGGGGCCAAAGGGCAAAGCTCAACCGGCGGCAGTGCCTGGGTCGCGGCCCCGGTTCTCCACCCAGCCTGGCTCCCCGGCACGGAGTGCGCTCGGCTCCTCAGAAGCCACCTCAGCCTGGCTCCCACCCCTTTGAGCCCGTCACCTCGAGAAGCCTCTCCCAGAAGGAGGCTCTGAGGCCTGGGCTTTGGAAGAGACAGGAAAACGAGGGACAAGAGGCCTGACGCTCACCTCGCCCTTTCGAGTGTCCTTACTAGCCGCAAGCAAGTTTTGGAAAGCGCCGCCTTCAGGGAGAGCAGTCGCCGACGTGATGCCTTCCGGGAGTGTGGGCGCCTCCGTTCTCTGACGTCACGCACGGTGATTCGCTTCCGGCGTGAAAGCCTGGTCTCCCCGCTCGGAGCGAGCAGTGTGTCCCGGAAAGGACGAAGCTCGAGCTCGCCGGCAGGACTCTCGGGTCCAGACAGGGCAAACCGGTGAAAGCCGCTTTCTCTTTTTGATCTGCCTCGGAATCCGAAAGCGGAAAGTTGATACCAGTCCTCCTCGTGCTGTCAGCACTGCCTTGTGGCCCGTCTGGCTCCAGGTGTCTCTGGGAAATGTAGTTGGCTTCAAACAGCCAATAAGAAAACCACCAGGTGGTGGCTGTCCCGGGATTGGGCAGGTTTGAGGAGCTACCGGAAATGGGCTATTTCTCAGACCGGAAGGTCTGCAAGAGCCGCTGCGTATCCGCGCTGCGCCCCGGCGAGCACAAATTCCCAGTACCTCCCCCCCGCCCCCGCGACGCACAGAGTACGCTATTTTTCACTTGTCAACTTATAAAACGGTGGAGAGGCATTCTACTTTTGTTTTCTGGTAGGTGCGTGAAGTCATCTTATAATAAATATTAAAATTAAAAGTACACGTACCTACCCTTTGACCTTGGCAATGTAAGTCTCTAGAACTTAAAGATAGGGTTCTCTGTAATGACACTGAAACAACACGTACGCCCATCAGTAAGGTCATAGTGTAATACATTTTCGCATTCTTAATCTGGAAATTGCTGTGAAGAACGAATTAGAGCTATATGTAGATGGCTATAGAATATTGAGTGAAAAGAATTACGAGTCACTGTACCTCATTTTTGGGACAAACAGAAAACATCCTATATATGTTTGCATGGAAGGATACATACTGGATTATTAAAACGGTTACTGCTCGATGAGAGAGGAGAACAAAAGGGGAGATGAAACACTATTGCACTGCCTCCTCACTTCATTTAATGAACAAGCATCAATTTAAGGTTGTTTGTTTGGTACTGGGGATAGAACTCAAGACCTAGTGCTTGGCAGGCACTTATAACACTGAGCTAAATCCCCGGCCCAAAAGCATCAGTTTACTAACTGTTATGATTGATATATCCTATCAACCTGAGACCTTTAGAAGTTTAACTGGGAGACTCTGCAGGGAGCCAGGATCTTTACTTTGTAAATACCCTCATCCTGTACAAGAGGAGGGCACAAAGATTTTGTGAGTGCTATACCCGCCTTGGAGGGGGATGTGACCTGTATACAATATTAGAGGGGAAAAGAGACTTGCTCATTCTCCCTTTTGTGCTGGCCCACTTTTTCCTTGCTGACAGGCCACCCTGCCTTGGAGCCAGCTAGTATGGACTGAAACCTTCAAAAACTGTAAGCTAAATAAACCTTTCCTTCCCTCATTTTGGGTGTCAGGTATTTTGTTTGCACAAAGAGGCAAAAGTAACCAAGATAGTAACTAAAAATAAAATCTCGCTAAGTGTGGTAGGGTAGCCTATAATTTCAGCCACTTGGGAGACTGAGGAAGGAGGATCACAAATTCAAGATCAGTGTGGGAAACTTAATGAGATTCTATAAGGTCTTAAGCTGAAGGATGATAATAGAATAATTTTTAAAAATTTGATAGCATTTAAAAAAATTGATCAGTGAAATAGATATCATAAATATATTTGAAATAATATCAGACTTTAAGGGTACAGGTAGACAATAGATCTACTAAGGCCTTTTAACATAAAAGATGGTCATTGTCATGCAAAACTAAAGAAATGCAATTTAAAATAATACAAATTTTGAATTGTTTTGTAAATCTTGTATTTATTTTTCTTTTTATTTTATTTAAAGAAAGACTAAACAAACAAAATAGGTAGAAATAATACATACATTTAGAGAAAAATAAATAATAAGAAATCACTATTTAAAATTAACATACTGTCCTTTTAGGGGCTGGGGATTTAGCTCAGCAGCATAAGTGCCTGCCTTGCAAGCAGGCAGTCGTAAGTTCGATCCCTGGTACCGATAAAAAGGAAAAAGACAAAAAAAAAATACTGTCCTTTTACAAATAGTTGTTCAAGATACAAAAGTGGAACATATAAAGTAGGAATTCAAACAATGAGACTGCAAACAGTTCTGTTCAACTATCCAACAAAAACTTAGTAATATGGTTGTCAATCCTATACACTTAAACATACATGTAGCTATCCATATCTTTATTTATGTTGGGATTAAACAAACTAAAGCAGGCTAAAGTCATTCTGAATCAACAATAATAGTATTGCTGGATTTCACATCATGACTCCAGAATCAGCACTGGGTACTATAGTGTCTTTTTTTTTAAAAAAAATTTATTTATAAGAAAGACTAAACAAAACAAAATGGGTAGACATAATATATACTTTCAAAGAAAAAAAACAGTAAGAAATCACTAGTTGATGATTACAGATTGTCTTCTTACAAATAGTTATTCAAGATACTAAGGTGGAGCATATAAAGTAGGGATTCAAACAGTGAGACTGCAACCAGTTCTGTTCAACTATCCAACAAAAACTTAAAAATATGGTTATCAATCCTATACACTTAAACATACATGCAGTTACCCACATCTTCATTTAGTTGAGATTGAACAAACCCAAGCAGTCTAATATCATTCTGAACAAAGAATAATAATATTGCTGGGTTTCACATTATGACATTCCAGGATCAGCACTGGGTACTTTAGTGTGTCTTTTTCTTCAAAGTATCTGTTCATTTCATCATGTGTCATAAGATCAGTTCTCATAAACTGTTTGTAGATTCTACACATGCATGAGTCTTAACATGTATTTCTATCCTTTCTGTATTAGAGGAAGAAACAAAGCAAGGCAAAACAAAACATATTCCTATAAACACATGAAACAAAATAAACATATAAAACCATTGTATGAATCATTCTACCATTGTTCCTGTGTTATCTCTTATCTCCAATAGAATTGACTATATCATCAGACATAGTATAATTGAATATGTCAGTACATAACAGTATTAATAAAAACACAACTTTGTATATAGTATAAAACTTCAAAATCAGGCAGTTATCAAATCAGAATGTGTATCATTGAGGCTTATCATCTTCAGTGTAGTTGCCTATACTCTCAGACTTGATACTACCAATCATGTTTTGAATGAAATCTTCTCTGCCTCATTTCTGTTATGCTCTTTTTTTGCCATCAGTTGTCTGCTTATCTTCTTCATTCTGTTTTCTGCTCCATTCATTGAGGCCTCTCTGCCACTGTTCCTGGATTCCTAGTACTTTTATCTCTCTCTAAAATGCCCTGCAGTATTCTCTGTAGAGTCGGATTGGTGGTTGCAAATTTCCCAAGTTCCCCTTTTTCTTGGAAGCATCTTGTTTCTCCATTAATTTCTAGAAATAGTTTATCAGGATATATCAATCTGGGATGGAGGTTATTTTCTTTCAAGGCTTGGAATATTTCACTCCAGGCTCTTCTTGACTTGATGGTTTGTGTCAAGAAGTCTGCCGTTATTCTGACGGGCCTTCCTCTATAGGTTATCTGTTTCTTGTCTCTAACAGCATTTAATATTCTGTTCTTATATTGAATTTCTCTTGATTATTATATGCCTGGGTGTAGCTCTGTTTTGGTTGTAGGTGGCTGGAGTTCTATATGCCTCATATATCAGAATATCATTTCCTTTTCCTATGTTTGGGAAATTTTGCTTAATTATTTCTGTGAATAACCTTTGTAGTTCCTTTGTTTGTATCCCAGCTTCTTCATTTACATTCTTTATTCTCAAGTTATAGATCCTTTTGTCATCTTCTAGCCTTTGTATTATTACTGCTTGTTTCCTTGTTATTTTTTTCCTTGTTATTTTTAAAAAGTTTTCCCTTTCATACTCCCACGTTGCAAAATTGTCCTCCAGTTTGGATAATCTATCCTTAGTTTATTTCAAGCTGATTTGCCATCTTTCCATAGAGTTTTTAATTTCCTGGCAATCTCTTTGAATCTGCTTCATATATTCTATATTTTTTTATGTTCTTCACCAAATGGTTTTCTCCTTTGTGTGAGTTCCTCCCTTCTGTGTCTGCTTGAGGGGTGCTTAGTATCTTTTTTATTAATCTTATATCTTGCTTTATTTGGCTAAATATCTCACTTTTGAACTCATCTATGAGGTCTCAAATATATCTCTTTATGTCCACTGGTGCTGTGTCTGATATTGCATGTTTGCTGTTCTCATTCTCCTTTGTATTTACCTGTCCTGGGTCAGTGTTCTCAGGGTTGGGACCTGGGGACTTTTTCTTGTTGCTTCCTCTTCCCATCTTTTTTTGCTTCTTCTAGGAGGCCCCAGTTTCTTTTTTTGTTGGTTACAGTTCTTCTGAATCACACTGGCTAGATGACCCTTTCCACTGCAGTGTGTTAGTGAGTTGCAGACAGGGACAGCATATGAACCCTCCCTTCCAGGTTAGTCAAGCTTCTGTGGCCTGCACTACTGTATTACTTTGCACTGCCTCCTTCCAGACCAGCCAAATCTCTGAGGCCCCACTAGGCCAGTGTGTTTAGTGTGCACCCCGGCTGCAGGGATAACCTATTGGGTCTCCGCCAGGTCACGTGACTGAGGTCTAGCTCACTCCAATCCCATTCAGGAAGGAAACAATTGACTGAAGTCACTGCTGCCCCTTGTACTTGCCTCCAGTTTCTCCAGTTCCCAGAATGTCCTCCACTGCCCCCCCCCCCCATTTATGGAATGGCTCCACTCCCGTCACTCACCACAGGTTGATATAGGCTCCTTGCCAACTCAGCTCTCCATTCGGCACTCTGACCCCCGAACTCAACCTGAGTCAAAGTGGCGGGACCTCGGAAGGCTCAGCAAGTTGCGTCAGGACCTCAGCAAGTCACAGTGGGACCCTGGCCAGTGGCAGCGGGACCCCCAGTAAGTCGCAGCAGGGCCCTGGCAAGTCACAGTGTCGGCCAGTCTGGGTGGGACCTTGGTTGGCCGTCAAGTCGCCTTAATTTCTTCTTGGGACGAGAGAATTCATCTCCCTCTGTTTGGGGCTCCCCACTCTGTATTATGTTGAATTCTAAGCTGATTATCTCAGGGAGCTTCTGTAGCCAGTTGTTATCTATCTGCCATCTTTGCTCCACCTCCAAAATCTTGTATTTATTAAAATTGCATTTATTTATCAAAAGTAACAGTGTTCTGAAATCAAACTAATAGTATTCTGTATGAAAGGTAAATGAGACCATAACCTGCACAAAGATGATGGAGACACTGCCATAAAGAAGTTTATTTGGCACAAGGCAGGGGTTGTCTCACAGACAGGCTTGTATATATCAAAGCTACAGCGGGGGAAATAGAGGAGCTGGCCAGAACAGCTGCTCAAGAGGGCAAAACCGCTACTTTAGGGGTGGAGTTATGAAACACAGAAACATCGTTGGTCTCTGTGGTTACTGTAGTTCTTGGGAAAGTCTTTGTGGTCAGTGTTACTCCTGCCAGTAGCCTGCAGGAGTGGAAATTCTACACTCTGTTAATTTCTCCCTCCCAATACTCAGAAGCTTGGTGCCTCTTCAGTGTAATAAGGCAATATAGCACTATTTTTAAAAGTACATGTTTGTTAAGTTTGCAAATGTTTCTCAACTTATCTTATTTTAATTTTGTTTCTTGAGGTAGTCTCTCTATATAATTCATGGTGAGTGGCCTTGAACTCCCTGTGTAGCCCAGGCTGGCTTAAACTCCCTGAAAACCTCCTGCCTCAGCCTCCCAAGTGCTAGGATTACTGGCATTTGCCACTCTACTTGGCTCTCAATTTATATTAAAGAAAATAAGATGGGTATATATCTTTGTAAGATCAAAAATTGATTAAATCATTATGTGTTTATACAGCAGGATACAATGCAACCATTTAAGAAATAAATTAAGTGAAAATACAAGTTACAGAACAGTACACATAAGATGTTATTTAAAAATGCTAGGTGTTTTTTTAAAAGCTGGACATGGTGGTGCATGCCTGTAATCCCAGAATTTGGGAGGCTGAGGCAGGAGAATCACAGCAAGCTCAGGGATAGTCTGGGCTACATAGAGAGTTCAAGGTCAGCCTGAACTACATAGTCAGATCTTGTCTCAAAAAACTAAAACAAAGTAAAAATATTAGTCTTTTCTTTAAACTGGAATAATTTACCATAGGTTTGTTTGTTTTTTTGTTTTAGAGACCGGGTCTTACTGTGTAGCCCAGATTGGCTTCAACTCGTAACAGTCCTCTTGCCTTAACCTCCGCATATCAGTTATCTCTAAGAAGTAGGATTAGAGGGGATTTTTGACTCTATATTTTAGAAATCCAGAGGTTTTCAAATAATATGTGTTAGTTTTATAATTGGAAAAAACATTTGAAGGGTTAATACTTTAATATTTGGTCATTTAGAAGTAAAATAGTGAAGGAAGAAAATTCTATTAATATATTAAGTGCAAATGAATCTACAATGACATACTACTTCATACACACTATAATGGCTATAGTAAAACAGACCGTATGGGTCAAGTATAGTCACATGGAGAACTGGAGTCTTCATGTATTTCTGGTGAGGATATAAAATAATCCAGCCACTTTGGAAAAGTTTGGCTTATTCTCAACATAGTTACTATATGAATAAGAAGTTCCACTCCTAAAAGTAAAAATGAACCTCTCCCTTTCCCAGTCTCTCTCCCTCTGTCTCTATATATATGTGAATCCATATACTCAACAATAAAAAGGAAAAAAGCCCTAATACATATTACAATATGGGTGGTCCTTGAAAACATTATACTAACTGAATGAAACTGGTCACCAAAGACCATTTATTTTATGATTCCATTTGCATACTCTGTTTAGAATAAGAAAATCAATATAGAGAGAAAATAGCTTAGTGATTTTCTGGACTGGGGAAAGGAAAGAATGGGGAGTGATTGCAAATGAATATAGCTTATCTTTTTGAGGAAATAAAATGTTCTGAAATTAGATGGTGGTAATATTTGAACACATAATGAATATACTAAAAATCACTAGATTTTGTGCTCTAAAGGGGTAAATTATACATTTAAAAGATTAGCAGGTAGAAAAACTCCATCTGATGGATACGAATGTTTACTATTTTTGAATGTTTACTATTTTACTAATTTATGAAGAGCTACAAACCACTAAGTTCAGCATCTAGATTCCAAATAGTAGTCAAAGAAACTGTAGTATTTCTATAGAATGAAGTGAAAAAAAAAAAGGATGAAGTGAAAAGCAAAAATTCACATGGAAAAATTTACAGCCTCACACATAATGAACTAAAGTCAAGGTATAACCTCATTATATCCCTATTAAGACTTTTAAAGTAACATATATTTACTTGGGCGTAAAATATCTTAACCTTTTTGAAGGATAGTGTAACAACCTATAGCTAATATTAGCTAATATTTCAGGAATTACAGGAGACAAATATGTATACTTCAGGGTGGTGGAACACATACTCAGGGCAGCTTTTGGAAAGCTTATCAGTAAGGAGAACTGTGAGTAACAAATTCCCAACCACAGGAAACAGCTAAATAATAGGGCACATGAAGTTTGTTAGCATGTGGATTCCATATGTGGAATAAAGGTCTATGAAGAAAGCAAAACATGTTGGTGCATGCTATGACTGTAACTATGGAGAACTTGGGAGTCCCGGCTAGACTCTAGTAGCAAACACAAAAGACAAGTTGGGATAGGAGGAATTTAAACTTCATTTGATCCCCATAATAAACATAATCATATACTACCAATGTACTGATTTTTCAAATCTCCGTTTGATTTTCTTTTCTGCTTTTATTTTGAGGGCACAGTGGTCTTGCTATGTTACCCAGACTGCCCTTGAAGTGGGTTCAAGTGATTCTCCTACCTCAGCATCCCAAATAGCTGGGAGTATAGGCATGCTTTTCTTCTCTTCTCTTCTTCTCTTTAATGGGAATGTCATGAGACATTCATGAAGTAAAACACTTAGTGTTCCACAAACCCATAAAATTTTCTGATAAAAACTAAGACAGAACTCTTGGACTGTGTATTCATTGCTTTTCTTTTTCTTTTTAACTTTATTTAAGGAGAAAAAGAAAAAAAAGCAGAAAAAGGATACAAGTTATACAGAATTTCAGAAAAAATAAACAGTAGGAATTCATTAGTTAATAGATTACATATTGTCATCTTAGAAATAGTTGTTCAAGTTACAAAATTAAAGCATATAAAGTGGACATTCAAACAGTGAGACTGCAAACAGTTCTGGTTCAATGATCCAACAAAAGTCAGTAATATGGTTATCTATCTTATACACTTAAATATACATGCAGTTATGTCCTTTAGAGCACTTTCTTTTGCTCTCTTTTCTACAATGACAATTACACATTTTGGGTTTTATTACTCCCACAGTTCTTACTACTTTTTTTTGAAGAGAGTAAAACCAAATGTGACATAACAGAACAGAGTCAGTCAAATCAAAAGGATGGACATAATACATAATGTAAAAACAAAATATAAGGTGATTGACAATGGTTACCATAATGCCTCTTGCTATCTTAAAAAGAATTGCCTATATCATCAGTTATAATAAAATTGAACAAAACAGTAAAGAACTAAACCAATAAAACCAAAACATTGGAGACATTACAGGTCTTCAAAAGAAGATAATAGCCAACCAGAATGGGCGTTACAATGAATCTTATTGTCTTCACAGTTGTGGCCTATACTTTCGAACTTGGTACTATCAAGCAAAATAGAATAGAGGAAAATCAGTCAAAAGAAGATGGTGAGAGCAATACAGGGTTTCAAATAAAATTAATATAGGAAATCAAAGTGGGTTACTATAATATATCCTGCTATTTTTTATTTATTTTTCCCTTAATTAAAAGGATAAAAATAAAAAAGTAAATAATAAAAAAAGGAGATTGAGATAAAAGAGGGCATAACAACAAAACAGCACAGGTCAAAACATAACCATTTAAGCAAAATAGTGTTTCACCACAAGATATCCCAACATAAAAGTAGTTACTATAGTGTCTCTTTCCTTGAAATCTTTGAGTATAACTTCGTATACTGTAGCATCAAACATATCAAGACAATGTAAAACCATTCAAGAGAATGAAAGTATTACAGGGTGTTTAGAATTAACTAACAGAAAATGAACAATGGTTTGTGTTATGTTCATTGCTTTTCCATGATATCAACTCAGTTTCTTTTCCTACATAGTAGGAAAATGAAACTCCCCAGTGATAAAAAGTGACAAATTATGATCAGATTTTCTGATTGATTTATTTGTGAGGCCCAGTTAATATCCTTGAGAATCACAATTTATTAATGCGGACATATAAATACTTTTGTAACAATCCCGTATACTTGCATTTTATCTAGGTTTCCTATGTCCTCAAAATAGGCAGACAGAGGGAATACAGAAGGGAGAATGAGAGCAGCGTGTTCTGCTTCCAGAGGATCTGAGAGTGCTAATTCATACTAGGACTTATTACACAACGTCCATGTACTTCCTCCTGTGAAATCCACTGCGTGTTATCAATGTATGTTTTATCTTCACTGCCAATATCTGTATAGCTACCTTACCTCTGCTATGGTTTGATAAACTTCTTGGCACTGAAACTGTTTTCTTGTTCATTGGCTTCCCCTATGGCAGCAGCAGGCTCACAGTAGATATGCAACTAGTAACTGCTGAGTGCCTGAACACAAGATACAAGGCCAGGAGATGGCATGGAGGCACAGTGTTGGGTGTTCAGTGAGGTGCCTTGCTATTCACTGCACAGACGGTCAGAGGATCCAGGTTCTTCCCTCCATCATGTGTTCCAGGGCTGAAGATAGGCTGAAGGGGTCCAGGGGAAGAGAAGCTGGTAAATGTATAGATGTGGGATCTGGCTGTCACATTGTAAAAGGAAATGTGTCCAATCTTCCAGTCCAGGAAGATGCCCACACGTTTCGGGGGCTCACTCATGCGAAGGTGGGTTGGAGGAACGGTAGATGCCTGGTATTCATTTGGCTTCATCATCATGACCACCCAGTAGCCATTCTCTGGTGACAGAGTCACGCTTCCTTTTCTGCTTGTGGATGCGTGGCATATTCCCAGGACCCACGCTGTCTTGTTTCCAACCTCCACTTCCCAGTAATGGCAGCCAGAGAAAAATCTAGGGGAGCCCAGGGTAAAGATGCAGCTGTCGAATCTTTCTGGGCTGTCAGGCAGCCTGTCCCATCTGCCTCCAAGTCTCACACTCTTCATATCATCAGAAAAGACAAGGTTTGGATGGGCAGTTGCTGGATCCAGGAACACTCTAACTGGAAAGAGAATTAGAATACTTATCTAGGATTTCATGGATAACATCCTGCTGCTAGGGTTCACCTACCTCCAGGAAACAGGACAGACCTGTTTTTCTAGATTGTAGTGGGACCTCACAAGCCAAGACTACTAGTCTTGATCCGGGCACTTACCAGCATGTGCTTGAGCACTAGTCAGTTCTTGAACTACAGAGAGAAAAAAAGAGTGATGAGAAGAAAAGGTCCTGGACATTCCCATACAGAGGATCTAAATTACACTATCCTGCAACAAGGAAAGACAAAGATCCCCCTGCTTAGGGCCCACCTCCTAGGCTCGGCCTCCATGCCAGCCATCCCCACATTAGTGACTGTGGCTGCCAGAGAGGCAAGTATGAAAAGACTATGCAATTCTGTGGACCCTGCCATGACCTTCCTCCTGCCTTTTCTCCAGATGTTTGTCTCTCTTCTAAAACAACTCCCTGAAATCAACTGCATAAGTGACTGTCACAATAATTCCTGGTCAGTGTACACTTCTGCCACCCTACTCACCATTGAATGTTTCCATTTCAGAACGCAAAGTATCTACAAAGGGGGAAAGAGAATAGAGGATCAAGTTAGGTCTGGCTAGGAAAAAATCAAAGAGAAGCTGAAGGCATGGTCATAAAGGACTTGGGAGGTAAAAAGGGAAGCAAATGTGATCTGGGCTCCACAAACCCCATGGGGAAAGTGAGCAACTGCCCATCCTTCCCCGAGCCCACCTACCTGAGAAGTATTTCATACTCTTCTCCACAATCTCTGATTTCTGGTGCAGCAGGTGGATCTTATCTTTCACTTCTGGAGGAGTAGTCCATGGCTCAGGGACAGTCATTATCTTGGTCCTAGAGACAAGAAACTTATCTGGAAGACTGGAGAGAGAGGGTGACCTGAGTCCCCATGAGCTGTAAATGAGTTGCAGTCTCCATGACACACAATCAGGTCAGCCTGGTCTATGCAAAGGAAGGTCCTCACTTTGCATAGCTCAGCGGGGGCTATAGGGAGAACAGAAACCTGGCCAGGATGACCGGAGAGGACATGGTTGTTTTCGGGGACTAGTGGTAGAGCGGTGAAAAGTTAGTTTTAATGCTGCAGGGTTTCCCACAGGAAAGTGAAAAAGTTCTAGAGGTAGATGGCAGACGCCAGATTTGCATAAAGTTCTCCAAATGACTGTTCTACCCCTCTCTTATATTGACTTCTGTCCTTAGTCCAAATATCTCTCCAGAGACTCCTAGAAAGTACTTTTTCCCTGGAGGCCATTGACAGCTCTACAGGGGGAGTTTTCATAAAGTGAAGGTTTCACTTGTGTTTTTCCCAGGCTTCCACCCCATGTTCCCTCCACCCAACCTGGCTAGGTTCCTTTTAACCCTGCACAAATCCAAGAAGCTTCAGGAAATGAGGGGAGTCACAAGTCACAGACACAGCTTCCTCCTAGGACTGTCTCACCCGAATGCCGCCTGCAAGATACTTAAGGGAACACCAGGGACCTCTTTGTACCTGTTCAAGGTGACTCTGATGTCCTAGGAGAGAAAAGAAGGACACTCTCCATTACCAGTCTCCTGGTGGCCAGGCTAATCCTGTCCTCTCCTTGTGGACTTCTGGTCTTTAAGCTTCTCCCTCCCCTTTCCAGGAATTCCAGCCTTGTGGCATCAGGTAGCTGAAATACCTCTCTTGAATTCTAATTCTCATCACTCAGGTGGTACCCCCTGCCAGAGTCTGTTGTAGAACTACACAAGATCCCTACATATCTCTTCTGGTCAATGCCAGAGCCATCCTGATGCTGTACCACCCTGGATCCTCCAGAGACCTCATCAGAAAAGTCTAGGCCCATGAAGCACAGTAGCACACCAAAACCAAGCCCGCACCTAAGCCTCCAGGGCCTTATTCCCTTGCTTCGACAGAGGTGCCCTTGTTTGGGTCATGTCATTGGTCCAGAGCACTCACCTGCATGAGCTCCCATTCCGACTGTCCCTGCTTGGCCTCAAGCTCCCCAATCCGCTCATCAAGGAGGGCTATGTGCTGGGACATCTGGGTGCCATAGGTCTTCTGGACCCGACCAATGGTTTGGCTCAGCTCTTCAAGCCAGGCCAGAAAGACCTGCTCCTGTTGCTTGAGAAACTGACACAGCTGCTCTAGTTGATACTGCACCCTCTGTTTCTGGGTTTCAGTTTGTTTCTGGGAATCATAAGATAGGGAGTAAGTTGCAGGGAGTCTGTGCAGTGGGGGTGGACATGTGTGTCCAGTAAGGCCTCTGAATCCTGGAGGTGGATTAAAGGCAGGTTTCCTCTGCTTCTTGGAGGCCTGGACTCCAGAGCCAAAGGTAGTGTTGTCTGGAACATTTCAGAATAGACAGGATTAGAGATGTTAGCTTTTGGAAGATGCTCTCCAATCTGGGGTTACAGGTTTATTTGTGTTCCCTCCAAAATTCATATGTTGAAGCACTAACCCTTTAGTACCTCAAAAAGTGTTCTTATTTGAACATTACAGTCCAAGCAAGTTTACTTAATTAAGATGATGTGATACTGGGGTAGGACAGGCCTCTAATCTAATATGACTGGTGTCCTTATGAAATAATAACAACATTAAAACACACACACACACGCACGCACACACACACACACTGGCAGAACATGAGCTGGAAAGATACAGAGAAAATGGTCATTAAAGCTGAGAAGGAAGGCAGACCAGATCCTTCCCTCATTTTCAAGAGGAACCAACCCTGCATATACTGGTTTCAGACTTCTGGTCTCTAGAACTGTGAGACGATAAATTTTTGGGTATGATGGCCATAGGAAACTAAGACATCAGGGTTATTTCTCTCCTGTCTTGAAAGCCAGAATGAAGATAGAAAGTGTCCTGGCGTCATAAGTGGCCAAGGCTACAAGTGAACCACCAAACTGTGTCCCAGAATGGTGGCCTCTGTTCACTCCCAAAGTGCTGGTGTGCAGGGGCTTCTTAACATGGCTCTAATGACTCTGGCTCTGAATGGGGACAGTCAGCCTATTTGAATACATGAGTTCGGCTTTGTACTATCATGCAGAGGTCAATCATTGGTTTTCTGTTATCCTCTTTCTCATGGTCCTCAGGAATCTTTTTTTTTTTTTTTTTGAGACAAGTCTTGCTGCAGGGTTTCCCATAGGAGTAAGTGCAGGGAGTCTGTGCAGCGGGGGTGGACATGTGTGTCCAGTGTAGTTCAGATTGGCCTTAAGTTTCCTGTGTAACCCAGGCTGGCCTCAAACTCAAAGTTATCCTCCTATCTCAGCCTCCCAAGTGCTGGGATGGATTATAGGCAAGTACCATCATGTCTGGCTAGGAAGCTTCTTTAGAGAGGTGACATGGTTCCAGAGCACTCATTCCTTCCTCCAAAAGGGAGAGAGATGCTCAGAAGTACAAACGTTAGGCTACTTAAAAGTCTTATTGCTCTGGTTTCCAAACAACAGGACTAACTTATCTTGTTACTCCTCCTTCTCCTCCTCCTCTTCTTGCTCCTCTTTTTCCTCCTCCTCTCCCTTCTTCTCCTCTTCTCTTTTGGTGGTATTGAAGATTAAATCCAGAGCCTTATGCATGCCAGGGAAGTGCCCTACTATTAAGCTGTATCTCCATCCCTCTTTAGTTCTTTTGAACTTCAAATGTCTCCTCATCTTCAGGTGTTCCTATTGGTGATGATGATGATTGTTTTCTTTTTTGAAAAGGATTAGTCAGTTTTCATGTTTAATTTATATTATAAAATGTAACTTTGCTTATGATTAATTTTATGCTAAACATTTTGGGCAAAAAAACCTAATTAAACTAGTTAATCTCAAATGTCCTTCCTAGTACATCTCATCTAGAAACAAAGAATATACAATTGGTCCATTGCCATTATTGTGAGAGTTAAATTGATCAGTTGGTTATAGAAGGGTCTACCAGGTTTCTCCATTATAAATTTACATTATTTTCCCTCTAATTACCTGGAGAATGGTATTCTGAGAATGAACAAATATCCTGTTTTGTAACACTCTTTCTCTAAAAAATTTAGCATCAAGTAATAGTTCCTGCCTGTCAATCATCACACTAGTCTCGGTATAATGGAAGATTTCTAACCCAATCATATTTTTATACTGTTTGTATTAGCTGGCATTCTGTTATAAATAAGAATCCCTGCTCTATTCCCTATAACTAAAAGTATTTTTTTCACTATGGAAAGAAGGAGAAAAAGGAAAGAGAAGGAGCAAAAGGACCCTGTGTTGTGCATTAAGGAAAGGCTGGACCATTGGTCTTTCTGGGTTTTCCAAAACAACCCAGATTCCTGCCTGATCTCCTTAAGGACACTCTGACCTTTGCTCCATCCACAGGCTTCTAGCCATTTGAGATTTATAGGAAGAGATTTTCATTTTCCTACAGTTCAGGAGTGTCCACAAGCCAGACACCTGGGTCACCTTCATTCATTCTTTTGTTATCTTTCCCGTGACCCAGTGAGGCATGGTGAGTACCCTTGACTTCTCAAATTTTGGGAGTCAGAGGTAGACAGGATCCAGCCAATGAAAATGCATTAGACAACTCAAAAAATCTGTAGGATAGGGTCGAGGAAAAGTGGAAGCAACTTAAACATCCAAAAGGCTGGACACCTCCTGCTTGATATATGCCAGTAAAATATGTGGTGTCACAAAATGACCAATTTAAAGGAAATGTTTTCCATTTGAATATTAAGAATCATTATAGTTTTTATATTTAAGAAGATAGTAACTATAAAAACTATAGGGGAACGAGGCATGGTACATGCCTGTAATCTCAGCACTCTGGAAGGCTAAGGCAGGAGGATTAACAGTTTGAGCTGAGCATGGGCCACTTCGTGCCTTACAATGATGTTGTATCAAAATTTAAATTGATGTAGCTTAGTTCTAAGGCCCTAGACTCAATTCTCAGTACTGAAAAAAAGAAGAATTTAAAGACAAAATAGTTTTCCTTCCCTTTTTAAAATCTCTTTCCTTGGTGACAGCCATTGCCTTTGGTCTCTGTGAACTCTTTGATGCTGAGAATAAGAAAATGCACCTGGTTTTCAGTGGTGACTGTCCCTGCTGGGGTAGTCTCCCTCTACTGGGACAAGTTTGGCCTTGGATGCTATTAACTCCCTGTGCCTGAAGAACAGATGACTATCCTTAATGCCCTGTGAACCAGAGCAAAATTTCAGACTCCTACCTGCTTTCAATCCCTTCTTTTCCTTCTGTATGTGTGACAGGGAAAGGACCAGCCACAGCATGCTCCCAACCTTACCAGGAAGTGTGCTGTCTTCATATCCCCCTGTGACCTCTGCTCCTCCCCAGATTTTCTCAGTTCCTTCAGATACTCCAGCTTCTTCTGAATTTGCTCCTGGAGAAAAAACATATTTTAGATGCTTCCGTTAGCTCCTACTTTAGCTACTGACAATTCCAGAGGAAAATACACTTCCAGGAGCAAAGTAGGAGGGTGCTACAATCAAGATCATAAGGAGATGTGTTCAGGAAGAAGGAAGAAGGAAGGATTCTATTATCATGGGAAACAGAGCCAAGAGGTGGTGAGGAGGAGTTCCATTGACCTCCTGGAATCTTCTGGATACAGCCATACCTGAAAGTAGATACCCTTCCCCTGTGAATTTCTGAGCAACAAAAACTCAATTTTCTTTGCTGTCTTGGTTTGTGTTGTGTTTTTTCCATTTATAGCCCAAGAATCCTGGATAGTGCACTCATGGGTCAGAGTGATTGGAGAAATGAAGAAGGTCCAGTGTGTCCAAGTTTGTGGCAGAGAAGATATCCCAGACAGGGAGTATTTACCTTGTAGTCCAAGGCAGCCTCCTCAATGGGGCGTACTTGGTGGCCTTGGTGCTCCTGACTCAGCCTGCAGATGAGGCAGATGAGCTCGCCATGGTCCTCACAAAAGAGCAGCCGTGCCTGTTTCATGTGGCGCTGGCACTGTGGCAGGGCCTGGGGACTCATATCTCCAGAGCTCTTCCTTGCCAATAAGGCCTGGCATTTCAGGAAGCTGGGAAAGCTGTTGCCTGAGGTCTTGGAGTCTCCAGAAGCAACCAGGCAGCTGTCGGAACCATGCACACAGGTACCACCAAGGAGATCCCCTTCCTGGGAGCGGCATTGGGGACATGCAGCCTCATCCTGTGGTCTCCCTGGGGACATGGAAGTAAAAGAAACTCCTGAGTGTCAATTCCAAGATGTTATGAGAAGGAGCCTATGCCATGAGTTCTTAGTTGTATCTGGTTGCTTCTTACGGTTTTCTGTCCTGACTTCCATTCATTGAAGGAGCACACAGGCCACAGGGATCAAAAGCTAAGGGCAGGCCTATTTCTGAGACATGGGATTCTTGGGCATTCATTCTAGGAAAGAGACGCAGGCTTTTCCTACAGAGCCTCTACCTTCCTCCTGCCGAGGCATGGATACAGTGGGTGAAATGAAAAAAGACATCCTGGGGCTGGAGATTTAGCTCAGCGGCATAAGTGCCTGCCTTGCAAGCAGGCAGTCATGAGTTCGATCCCCGGTACCGATAAAAAGGAAAAAGACAAAAAAAAAAAAAAAAAAAAAAAAAAAAAAAAAAAAAAAAAAAAGACATCCTGAACAGCATTTGCTTTGCCACTTAAAACTACCTCTCTCAGATTGATTCTTAGCTCCTGGCAGAATACATATTAAACATCTGGTGCATGTGTTGAATGAAAGAGCAAATGGATCACTGCTCATATCCAAGTTAAAAAAGGCATTAAATGAAAGCAAAGAAAGGGACTTTGTAAGGCTATTGGGTATATCTTGACTTGAAGATGTAACAGTTATGAATAGTTCTACTCAAAGACTATCACAGAAATGACAGGAAACAGAAGAAAAAATAGAAATACATGCAGTCAGTCCTTCTGTCTTCCTAAACTTGCTGCCCCAGGAATTCACATTACACCTGTAAACAAAGCTATTAATAGTTCCCAAGAAGCATTCTCCTCTCCTCCCTTATGACATAATTCATTGCTACCCATATGCCTGCTTCCCAAACTCCTTTGCAGTTAAGAGTGCCCATCTGACCATATTCTAGCCAAAAGAATATAAACAAGGTGTCATGAGCAGCTTCTAGAAACTTCTAGAAACTTTCCCAAAGTAATCTACTTTCTCTATCCTGCATGGTATGAAGATGTCACTATCTATCTTCATTCTGGTATGAAGATGAGATGTCACACTCTGAGATTATGAGTTTAAAAGTAAATTTGGTGGAGCAAAAAAAACAAAAAAACAAAAAAACAAAAAAACAAAAACAAAAAAAAACAGAAGTCTGAGGTTCCAGGCCCATGGATTTGTCCTGGCCCAACTGGGTGTCATTTATGTGAAAGAGGAACAAACTTCTATTGTTTTAACTTCTGAAATATTTGAGTTTCTGTTTCAAACAGAATCATGAGGACTTAATTCCTTAGTAAGAAAGACCCATAATTTTCATGAATGGATGTCTTCCCTACCCAGAGAAAGGCAAACGGTAGATTCTTGGCCTTGTGACATGTTGTTATGGAGTGATCGTGGAAAAGGGATATTTTTTGGGTTTTCATTCTAGGCCCCATGAAGCCATGAAATCTAAAGAAGGACTTCTGAGGGCCCAAGAACAAATTGAACTTTGATGCAACATTTTGTAAGGATGTGCTTACATGTACTTTTTAGGATCTATAGCCAGGATCAGGAGACCTTAGAAGGCACCCAGGTATCCCAGTGATATAAATTCAGGAGGGATAAAAGGAAATTTGGTAGAGGAATTCCAGGCTTCCCTGTCATCAGAAGATGAACGTACTTCTGGATTTGAGGACTTGTGAAACACACTACCTGCGATCTTCCCTTCAGTGTCTGGATGCCCAGTTCCATATTCCTCGGTGGATGCTGTGGATTTTTCGTCTGTAGCCAAACATGCACTGGAAAGTGTGATCTTGAATGCACCCTCCTCCATGACCCCAAAGCGTTCTGCATTCCTGGAGCCATTCTCCAGAGCCACACTAGCCGCTCCTCTGGAGATGGCTGCTGAGTGTACATTTGTATTTCTCATTTCCTCAAGAGATGTCAGAAGAGTTTCTGGATTTGAGGGTTCTTCTTTTTCTGAAGAAATAGTAAATTCAAGACTTTTGGGTCGCTGTTTTCCTGAAGGCAGATATACTTCCGATTTCTTGCAGTCTCTTTTCCCTAGGGCCCCGCTAGAGAGCCCCTGGAGTCTTCCTGCTGAGCTGGCATTTCTTCGAAGCTTGATACTCCGCTGGATCTCCAAGTTTCCAGGCTGCTGCTGGGTGGGCACTGGACTTCTCCTTGCTGGCAGCACTGTGCTCCTACCCAACAGCTTACCCTGGGCATCCAGGCCCTCAGGGCCCTTCGGGTCCCTCCGTTTGCCCAGAGACTTCTTCTGAGGTCCCCTCACTGCCTCAGTCTGGCTGGACAGCAAGCTGACTGCCCCCTCAGCACTTTGTCTCTGTCCATCACCTGCTGGGTCATTTGGTACCTTCAGGCTCTTAGACTTGTTCTCCCCAGAAGATGGTGCCAAAGTGTCCGTACAACTTTCTCGTTCTGTAAAGACAATCAGATGCAAAGACATGAAGCTCTCCCATGCCAATAGACCAGGATTGGGGTGTTGGGGGAGGGGAGAGAGGGACATCCCATTAAGAATTACAGCAGGTAAAGTGTAGACTATCCTGCTCAGTAGCAGTTAATTATGATGAGGTAAGAACATACACATAATTTGCTGTATTTTTCTCAAATAGTACTTCTCAAACTTTTTAAGTAGAAGACCTTGTTTCAATAAGATCTCATTTCAAATAACATAAAATTCTGGTTATTCATGTAAATTTATGTGTGATTGCAGATGTACCACTTTACCTTTTCCCTGATTGATGGGCTTTGAAATTTTTTTATAGTTTTTTATCCTTTTTTTTCTTTCCATTTATCTTTGAATAAAATGGATTTTTAAAAAGACAAGGCAAAATAACAAAACAAATTGCACTTTTTATAAAGTCAATCAGTAAAAAGAATGTTTGATTAACATAAAAAATTTGAAATTAAGGTCTATAATTCTTTCATTTTTCCTTCATTGAATAAACTGAAGAAAATTCTTATACAGAAATAAATGTAAGCTGGGCATGGTGGCTCATGTCTGTAATGCCAGCACTTGAGAGGCTGAGGCAGGAACACTGCTGTGAGTTCAAGGACAAGCCTGGGCAACAAAATGAGTTCATAGTAAGACCCTGAACTTCATAGTAAGACCCTGTCTCAAAGAAGATACTCCATAAAAAAACCCACAAAAGTAAAAAGAAATAAGTATAAATGGTAAAACAAACAAAGAAACAGCTTGCCTGGAAATTTCAGTACACTGTTTCTATTGGGAAATAACAGGAAAGGTTTAATTCCAAGGACATGAAGGACATGAAGGACATGAAGATAAACTGTAATTAGTACCTTCCTTTGTGGTCCAAAAAAGCTAAAAGTAATATTTTGGCAGATGTACCAAAACTGGCTCAAGAACTGATGAGAACCCTTGAAAATATCAAGTTTTACATCATGAAAAAGTAATTTTGAAATTCTACTCATGAAACTCTACTAAGTTCTCTGACTTTCACAGACTACAGTCATTTTATGTTATTTAAACTATTTAGCCTTACAGAAATACCTGAAAAGTATTTTTTGTTATGTATATTTACTTTTATTACTTTATTTTAAAGAGAAAAAATAATGAAATTTCAAAACATGGTAATTAGAGGATAACAATGACTAATACCTTGGTATTATCTTTAAATTAGTTACTTAGGGTACAAGACATCTTCATTTAATTGTCTGAACAATATTAACATAAACATTTACATATGTATATCATAAACATAACATTCTTTTCAAAGAACTAAGAGAAATTAGTAGTATAACTATCGTAACTATCATTTATATACATACATATATTAGCTTCTGACACTAGGAAGATAATATGATGTTTACACATGTCAATATGATTTATTTCACTTATGAATAAGATCTCTAATTGCATCCATTTACCTATAAAAGTCTCAAGTGCATCCTTCTTTATGGCTGAGTAGTACTCTATTGTATACAAATACCACATTTTTTAATTCATTCTTTGGTTGATGGACATTTAGTTTGTTTCCAAGATCTAGTTATTACAAATTGTGCTGCTATAAACATGAGTGCACATATATTGATGTGGTACAATGTTTTTAATTCTTCTAGAAAGATACCCAGAAGGGGAATAACTAGGTCAAATGGGACCACCAATCCTAGTTTTTTGAGGAATCTCTATATTGATTTCCAGAGTGGTTGCACCAGTCTACACTTCTATCAAGAGTGGAGAAGGGGGCTGGGGATTTAGCTCAGCGGCATAAGTGCCTTCCTTGCAAGTGTGCGGTCGTGAGTTTGACCCCTGGTACTGATAAAAAAAAAACAAAAACGAAAAAAAAAAAGAGTGGAGAAGAGTTCCTCTTTACCCACAGCCCTCCAGCTCAGAAATATTTTTCATACAAACAGCAAATAAATACGTAAAAAATATGTTCAACATCACTGTTCATTTGAGAGATGCAAATTAAAACACTGAGATTTCACCTCACCCAGAAAGAATGGCTATTGTCAAGAAATCAACCAATAATATACGTAACAGGAAAGGCATAATTCCAAGGTCTACATAAGGAAATGAAGACTGTCAGACCCTTAGCCTTTTTTAAAAAGCCACTAGGAACCCCAGGGGGCTTTACTAACACCTCTATATGGGCCAGAAAGAGGACCCGGATGTGCTTGACCCAAGCTGCTCAAGTTGTGGTGGATGAGAGACCCTTAACATTTAAACCAGAGAGTTCTAGCCTGAGTATGTCTTCCTCTCCCTCGTCAGCAGACAGCACTGGGCCATGAGGGGACTTGGGCTGCTTACCCTGGCCAGTGGCCCTGTGGAGCTCCTCTGCCAGGAGGCGCTGGTTGATGGACCGCAGGACCTGCAGAGTCAGTTGCACAGCATACTCTTCCCCATAGTGGGTGATCAGCAAGGTAGCCAGTTTCACTGGTCTGGCCATCTGGAGCTGGCCTCGGGGAATCCGGGTGTGCCCCTTCTCCATACCGGTGTTCTGCAGCTTGAACTTGAATTTCTCAAAGTCATACGGTACAAGCTCCTCCAGAGTATTCAGCAGATGGTCGCTAAGGTTCGTGGCCATGGTGCTGACCAGGAGAACCTGGAGCCAGCTCTCTGACTTCTGGCAGGATAAAAAGCCCTCTAACAGGAGCCCACAAGTGAGCAAGCAGCTTGTGAAATCATGGAAAAGGAACAGGAACTAAAGTGGAACTAAGACTAAGGGAAAGGGTGTGTCCAGTGCTCAGGCTGCTACATCCCCTCTTTGTGAATTGAGGAAATTTTCCAGTAGGGAAGACTTTACCTTCCCAACCATGTTCCCAGACCTCTATGCTGAATGGCAGAAAGTGGACCTGGGATTGCAGTTCAGATCTTCCATTCTTTATCCCTTGCTGGTTGAAGGGTTAGCCATGCTAGAGTTCAGCCACCCGGCCAACTGCTTTCCTCCAGACTCTTGGAGCACTTGGAACTTTCAGGGATAATGTCAACAGGTGAGATGAGCAGCAAATATAGCTGCTCACAAGTTGGCCTGTCAAGAAGGCAGGTGAGGCCATTAGAGTACAGTTAGAGGACAAGCACTGTTATCACATCTGTTGATGTTGTTCTAGTCCATTTACAGTTTTTCCAGGAACATAAAGGTCTAAACATAAAATTGATATCCAGGACTATCATCTTGATTTTTCTGTACCTGGAGCTGACTTATCCCTTGCTCCCTGAGAACTAGGGTGCTTTTTTGTGCATCTTTTAAGATCACATGTTCTTGGCATTTGTCAGGTGCTGGAGATGAAAAGCTCCCAGGCTGGTTCCCAGAGGTGGCACCAAAGCTAATGGAAGTTGCATGGAGAGGGGATGGCAACTTTATTACTGGTTTCTGCCCTTCTTCACATTCTGATTTTCATCTTCAATCATTTCAATCTACAAACTTTCAATCTAAAAAGAAGTGGAAAGTACAGCATAATGAATACTTACATATCCTTTACTTAGATCCACCAACTGCTTACATTTTTGCAGTATTTTCTGCTTTACCTCTCTGATGCTTCTTTTTCTCTTAACCATTAGGTAATAAATTGAAAACATCACACATCACTCCACATAGTCTAGATACACAAAATAGTGTCCACGGTGATACTTTAAAGTGGTCATAATATAATTACTACAAATAAATATTACGTTGTTACAATACAATAATTATTCCATAATCAAACTTCACCATGGTCCCAATGATGTCTACTATAGAGTTTATGCTTTTTATTTTCCAACCCAGGGTCTAGAGATTGTGCATTGTTTTTCAGTCCAGTCTATAGTTTCCTTTTATACACAACATTTTCACTTCTTCAAATTTTTCTCTTTAAAGACATAGAAGTTTTTTTTGTTTATTTGTTTCGTTTTTTTTTGTCTTTGTTTTTATTGGTACCAGGGATCGAACTCACGACCGCACACTTGCAAGGAAGGCACTTATGCTGCTGAGCTAAATCCCCAGCCCCAACATAGAAGTTTTTAAAGATCCATTCCTTCAATTTAGATTTCTGTTATTGTTTCCTTATCATTAGATTGGCACTAATATCCATGTATACTTAAGATTTCTGCAATATTCAAGGACATTTTTTTCTTTGTAATTAAGTGACCTTAATTATCATGTGGTGATCTTTTCCCAGATCATTCTCCCTCTGCCTTTATCAAGTCATTGATGAACCTTTCTTAAATCAATTATTACAACAGTGATTAAAAACAGTGAGGTTTCTATCAATTAGCATCATGTGCATATCTTGGTTTAAACTTTTTGTCCTCATGAAATTTTTGGTTAAAAGATATTTTATGGATAACACAATAACCCTTCCACAGCACTTACTCTGTAGCAGGTGCTGTTTATTCTGTAAACATTACCTCTGAGACTGCTCTGCGGTGCTGGATTTATTATCTCCATGAACAGCCAGGTATCAGTGGCTTCATGACATCCAGAATAAGGATACAAACTCAACACCTCATGGTATTTTTTCCTTCCGGATTATAATTCATTATTTTAGTCTTCATTACTCATCAGGGAATTGTTTTTAGTTGATGTCTGAGGCTCAGAATAGACTTCTTTCACAGGCCAACTAAAAGATTCTGATGCCTTCCTGGTGTATGAGCACCACTGGGATGACTAATTTTGAGGGGATTGAAAAGATTTTGATGAGTTCTGGTTAACAGAATTTAACTTATTCTCTGAATGGTTCATGTGCTTCATATTTCACAGAGTATTCAGTGCTTTTGGCTTGTTTTTTTTTTTTTTGACACTGGATATGCGAGAAGACAACCCCATTTTCTCCTAGAAATGGGTGAAGCCAAATATATATTTATGGCGCTGATGGTAGATGTGTGAAATTCTCAGGTTAGGCCACAGGATGCTGAGTGGGGTCTTGCTATGACCAGTAACTGTATCAGACTTTGGAAAGATCCCTTCCAAAGAAAAATGATGAAGTGGTAAAGTAACAGGCAGGCTGCCTTGGCTTCCTGGGGACCCCTGACCCTATCTTATTTGGTCAGGAAACTCCTCTGAGCATCTATGCATAATAGGGGCAGTGAATGGGGCTTTCCAGCCTAAAGCAGGATATTTCACAATTGCAATGACATCTTTTGCAACAGGGACAATTCTGAGGCAGTGTTTTGATGATTTGGGGGCCTTTCTAAGTTAAATGGGGGGCCTTCCTGAGGAAGGCTCATGAAACTTGTGTTTAGTGAAGTTCTGGTAATTTTTAAAATGAAAGAATGTGAAAATAGAATTATATCCCTTGTGATATATTTTAAATGTTTGATTTACTAATGAGAGTGGAGTGGTAATAAGCACTTGTTTCTTATTTCTCTCCCACTAGATGAGTAACATTACTTGTGTTCAACATGATAAACAAATCCAATACAATTGCTGCAAAAGATGCATCCTCTGCTCTTTTCTCCAAGAACATTCTCAGATTCCTTGATCTCCCTTCCAAGTTTGTCCCTGAGGTGCTTCCCTTTCTATGACATTCATTTTGACATTGTTATGCAATTTTTCCCCCAGTGCTGAAGATCAAACACAGAGCTTTGTACATGATAAGAAAGTGTCCTACATCCCTAACCCCATTTGTGGACTTTTATAGTGATTATTGTATTTTATAATAACAAAAATGGTAGTTTCTAAAAAGGCATTTACAATTAATTTAGTCTCTCAGGGAATATATGTGCTCTTCCCTAAAACATAATAAAGGAGGTTTATGGTACTTAAATATATCTGTCCTTGAAAGAATGAAAAGAATCGTTGGGAAATTTGCTGATCTATAATTGAGAACTCCCCCCTTATGCAGTCCCTAAGATATTTAGTTTTAAAAGCAAAATCTGAGACTTTTAGAGGCTAAGCATTCAAGTTTGAAGTGAATTCCTAAGCAATAAACAGATGCTTTGCTTGGGGTTGCTCAGAGGCCTTCTCCAGGTTGAGCAAGCTGCTAAGAAATGCCTGGTGACCTTTCACAGCTTATCTGCAGCTGGCTCCTAATTCCCAACACCAGTCCTCACTGTAGCATCAATATCGTGTTTTGCACAGTACTTGATAAATACAAAATTTAGAGCCTAAAAAGGTAATTATTTTCTAAATTTTTAACTTCAGTTCTAGAAATCAAACCAAGGGCATTATGCATGCTAGATAAGCACTCTGTTACTCAACTATATCACCAATTTATTGATTTTTTAAAAAAATTCCTGTCGAGCATGGTGGCACTTGTCTATAATCCTAGTACTTGTGATGCTGAGGCAAGAGGATCACCATAAATTCAAGACCACCCTGAACTACACAGAGAGACCATCTCAAGAATAATATGCCAAAATAAAATGCCAAAGTCTAAATATCTGTGTCAAAAGAATCTCATCGAGAGACAAAACATGTTTTGATACACCCAAAAAGCTGAACCAAAATGAATAAAACAAAATGACAGCCTTGAAATGCACAAGCTGGGGGATGGGCATAAGCTAAGGCCTATCAATAGAGCTTAAAGGCTATTCATTGTAACTGAAGCCTAAGAGACAGGCTCAGAATAGAACTACAATTCATACTTACAAAATCTGTGATGTATTATATTCCAGAACTCCCATGTTGCATACATTACCCTGGTACTATGTAGTGAACCCAAGGTATCTGCGTTGACATACAGTAGCTCCTTTTTGTTTTTGAATATTTTGTTCAGGATCTCATAAAAATTTTAAATTGCCCAGGCTGGGATTGAAATTGTGATCCTCTTGCCTCTACCTCCCCAAGTGCTGGGATTATGGGCATGTTCCACTATTATGAGTTGTATCTAGATGTCCTCCTAAAGTCTGCTTCATGTACTCCTAGGTGGGGCTTTTCTCCTAGGTGACTGGATCTAGAGTATATAAATATGAATTAGGGTATGTGAAATATAAATTAATTCTCTGACTGGTTTAGTATAGTTCTAAGTGTGGAAAATGGGAAGGCCCAGTTGATGTGGCCCAGTCAATGGGTTTGAAGCCTGAAAGGAATAAAAGAGAAAGGAAGGCTTCCTGCCTCCTGTCTGCCCTTTCATAAACTGTTTCTCCTCAGCCATGCTGCCCTGCCTTTGAGCCTTCAGACTCTGGACTGAAAACTCCACAGTGGACTAAAATAGACCTTTTCTCCTTTTTGTGGGTGTTGGGTATTTTGTCCCAATAAGAGTATCTAAGACAGCCACTCTGCCTGCTTGCTCGCTTTCTTTCTTTCTTTCTTTCTTTCTTTCTTTCTTTCTTTCTTTCTTTCTTTCTTTCTTCTAGATGAGAAAGCCTTGACTTAGAGGTAAAGTCACCTACAAATTGTCTGGGACCAAGATGCAGTTTGGTCCTCTTGTTCTGGAAACTTTCAGTCTTGAGAAACCTGGAGGAGTTGGCTACCTTCTTAGGGCTGTTAATTGAGGCTGAACACTAATACAGCTCTTTCATTTAACTCATATTTATTGAGACTCTGCCATGTGCCAGATATCATTCTACCTACTATGGCTACAGAAGTAAATAAAACAAAGTTCCTCCCACGGTGCACTCTTATGAGGAAGTGTAGGTCAACAACAAACAATATACTATGTATTGGGAGTAATGAGGAAGTTGAAAAAATCCACAGAAAAATAAGGAAGTTCGTGAGTGTAAGGGACTCACTTAAAATAGGGCAGTTTCAGAAAGACTCATG